GTTATTTCTGCTACTAAAAAAAGGAGCTGCTTTATAATCTGTCGTTTAATTTCAGCAGTAGATTTGTACTAAAACATATAAGGGGTCAAGTTCATTATAAGGTTATACTTCTAAGGAGCCTTTGAAAGAGGGAGCCATCGATAATCTTTCATAAGAAGTGACCTGCTACTTTCGGAATACTTTCTTGTACCTTTGCATTTAATAAAAAAAAAGAATACAGAGGGTATTTTGACTTTTTTGACATTTTTCACTATTTTTGCAAAGCAGCTAGTAATACCAGATTGAGGGCTGAGTTATGTTAAAAAACGTGAAGCCGAACGTCAAACACGGTCGCTCCAGGTTTTTCGTTGCTGATTTGTGCCGAGTTACTATCAGGAAATTACGGTTCAGCCTACCAAAGGCCGCAAATTATTTATCAATTTAACCCACTCCGTCCACTCCACTTGGACCGTCCAGTTACGATTCGGTCTTCTAATGGCTATTACTTATCACTAAACCTTTGGTTACCGAATTTTCTATATCAGTGCAGGTTTTGCGTAGCTGTATTACATATTCGAAGCTCAGACCGTGTTACGGGATTGCATATCTGATGCGAGGCCTTCCGCTACTGAATTCTATGTCCCGTACATACGGCTGTATGTCTCAGCTTACAAAAATACAGCAGCAGCCTCTCAATCAGTACAGTAATAACTGGCCAGCGCACTGACTGCCGGTGCGAAGATGCGTTTTTTGCTCAGTTCCCCGCAGGTTTTTGTCGCTAATGGCACTGTTTTTCCTGGCAAACGTTTCTGGCTAAAAGCACTGAGACTGGCCATCACGGTTGTCAGGAAACATCCCCTTAAAATTTCAGCTTTCTAGCTTCTCCGCTTCCCGAGTTAGCAACTTATCCCCAAAAAATTTTCACGGGCCCGTGCATGGAAACCACGTGAGCAAAGGCGTGCATTTTGGGGATTAGGGCCCGTACATGCAAGTAGATTAAGATCAACCTTGTAGCTTTTGCAGGTTTCGAGACGAAAAATTAGTGCAGGCGGACACATAGGCACATGCGCACACAGAAAACCCCTCAAAAATATGCATTTTTGCGCTGCGTAGATGCAAAAAATGCATAAAAACCTATATCAAAGACTGTCTGAGCAATTATTATGGGTATCCCATGTTAGTGATGTTACTGAGATGCTTCCACATGTTAAGAAATATTTGTTTTTTTTTATAGGTCATATGACAACAACGGGAATGGAAGATAACAGTGCCAGTTTTATGACGGAAATTACGGAAGATTTTGTTACAAATGTAAAACAAGGTTTCATGGACATCCGTATTGTTGAACAGTATATTAACGGATGCATTGATTCACCACGATCAATCCTTACACCTCCACCCGTTGTTCCGATTGTACAGTATGTTTTCCTTTTTTTTTTCGATTTCATAAAAATCCTTGGCAGATTTATTCAATTTTAATAGATTGCACTGTCGAAGTTAAAAGATAGGACCTTATCACATAATATATCAAATAATGACTTATGGTTTTTGTTAGAAATGTCGTAAAGAACAATTGCGCCAGTATGATGCATTATCTCCGGTTACTGGTTCACACTTTGGACACTCTACCCTCATTAAAGCTTTGCAACCTTAGTAATCTCTGACCCCTGGGGTATAAAAGCACTCCTTCCTATCTCCGGGATTCCAGAGCCATTTTCAGCTACGCGGGAAGCTGGTCCCTGTCGACTTATCGCTGTTCTGGGGAGCTTCGGCTCCCCAAAACCTCACCACCTTTTTTGTATTGCCTTTTCTTATTTTACGTTG